AAGGATAAGCCAAAGGTCTTAGTGTCACCTTAAATCATTTCTTTGATTCTCCATAGCCAATGAGTTGGCACCTTTGACTGGTACCTTCAAATATAGAAGCCAACCAATCCTCACTACATACATTGTCTTGACTCTAAGCCACCTTATTTCACTAGGTAATAGAGCAGAACAGCCAGAATAGATTTTCTTTTTCTTTTTTAAAAATATTTATTTATTTATTAGTTATTGGCGGACACAACATCTTTGTTTGTATGTGGTGCTGGAGGATCGAATCCGGGCCGCACACGTGCCAGGCAAGTGCGCTACCGMTTGAGCCACATCCCCAGCCCCCAGGATAGATTTTCTTGCTTAAACCTTCTTCCTTCCCAACAACTCTCCCCAATTCAATTTAGCCTCAGTATCATAAAGATATTGATATTCCTCTGTTCCTAGCACGCCAGTAGCTTCTCATTGCACTCAGTAAAAGCTCAAGTACTTSTAATGACCTCCAGGGTCCTCCACAATCTGTTCTCTATTATTCCATGAAACACATCTTTGCCATTCTTTCTGTGTTGCTCTACTCCTGCCCATTGTACTTCTTGCTATTCCTAGGACACACTAGGCCTGCTGCTGATTCAGGGCCTCTGCAGTKGTTGTTCAAGGCTGCAAATGCTTTTCTTCTACATCCCTCATTCATGTCTTTGTTCAAATGTCAATGGTTAATTTGAAATCATGCCAGCGGTATGCTGCTAAATGATTATCAGCTGCCTATCTGGGAGAAAAAAAAAAGTCACACTGTTTGCATTTGCCAAGTTCTATGGCATAAATATTTGGCAATTTCAAGCTACTAAGAAAATGTCACTGAATTGGCATTGCTGAAGTTGGAGCTGGGAAGAGAAGCCACACAATCAGCTCAGGAAACCAGTGCAAGATGGGTGTAGCACACCACTCACTCTAAACCACTCCCAGCTCCTCCTCCCTTTTAGTGAACCCAGCACAAATCATTTCTCATTGGCTAACATGTTATTTATTATTAGGTCTATTTATTATGCACTTCCTTCCCTATCAGACTCCCCATCCCCAGCCCCCCCAGGATTTTTTTTTTAAATTTTATTTATTTATCTTTAAAAATTTTTTTTTGGTACCAGGGATTGAACTCAGGAAAACTTGACCACTGAGCCACATCCCCAGCCCTATTAGCCCTACTTTGTATTTTATTTAGAGACAAGGTCTCACTGAGTTGCTTAGCACCTCACTTTTGCTGAGGCAGGCTTTGAACTCGTGATATTTCAGGGGTGTACCACTGCACCCGGCTCCCCTGGATTTTTGTCTGTTTGTTCACTGATGTAAGATCAGTGCCTGGCACAGAGCAGTTTCCCAATACATAGTTATTTAATGAGTGAATGAGTTTCCTAGTGAGGGCAATATAGTGCAGAAAGTAACCATGAGTAAAATAGAACTTACAGGGCAGTGAGCTGTGGTGGGATCAGAAGATCTGAGAGGGTTCTGAGTAGGACTGAAGCAGGGTGAAGTGCAATGGCTGCCTTTGGCTCTGAAGACCCCRTGAGGCTGAGGAGTTCTGAGCAGCTCCCCTTTTGGTGTTTTAGAACAAACCTGGTTCCTTGGCAGAAGTATCAGAGAACCTGATTAGAAGCCTCAGGGCTTCCTGAGGTTGAATAATAGTCCCTTGTTTTGAAGCTCTATCTTTAATTTGAAGAACATTATTGCAGAGTATGTCATTACTATTGGTTTGAATTAAAGATATAATGTGCATTGAAAGTGAGCAAATGGCATTTATAGGTAGGCATGTACTGAGGAGAGAGAGAGAATTTTTAATATTTATTTTTTAGTTCTCRGCGGACACAACATCTTTGTTGGTATGTGGTGCTGAGGATCGAACCCGGGCCGCACACATGCCAGGCGAGCGCGCTACCGCTTGAGCCACATCCCCAGCCCTCTTTTTTTTTTTAATTCAGGGAATGTGTCAATGYGACACATTCTTTACATCTTGATCTGGGGTCTTGAACATCTGGATCTTTCCTCTCTCAAACTCAATCATGCCCTCTTATAACTCAACTGTTCCATTCATACTTGAAACTTCTAATGAGACTTTTCTCCTCATGTGCCACTGAAGTCCATTTCTTTTCTATACATTCATTGCCACAGGGCCATACAAGTGAATGTCCGTTTTTTTATGATTTCAGAGCGTACCTATTAATTGCCCTGTCTTTCTGAAGCTCAATGTTACAGTTCTCACATTTGGATATAATAGTCTCTGTTTCTACTGCCCTTGATTTGAAAGCTATTTAACACTTTCACAGCATTCTCAAATCTTTATAACACATTTCTAACGGACATTATTCTCATTTATCCCTTTTCTCCAAATATCTTTCATTCGTAACATAAATGTTAAGTGCTTTCTGATATTTTCCTCTAACACGTAGTTGAGTTTACTGCTTGGTCCCAGAGATGTCGGTATGGAAAATATTAATATTATGCTTATTTTATCAATTAAAAATTCATATCCAATGTGAATTTCCAAAATCAGAAATGAATGGAAGACTAAATTTACATAAGTACATGTGCTGATTCCTGGCCTTTGCAATGAGTGCAAACCTCTGCAAGTGTCTCCAGAAGCACAGTAAATCCAGATCTCCTGGAAGCTCATTCTCTACAGCTGCTTATTTTGGCCTTGAGAAAACTCTGTTGTGCTGAGTATGGGTTGTGGTGCAGTGGCTGCCGTCAGCAATGTGGCCACTGAGAATTTGCTCCCTGACTCAGAGTTCTCACCCAGAGATGGCTTTTGGCAAGGCCAGCTCTGCTCAGCTGCAAGGCAGATTTGGACCTCTGGGTGGATTAACCTTTGTCCTTCACCCCAATGGGCATTTTCTGCAAGATATTTCTGGGGGACTTGCTACCCACCCATACGCTCCTWCTGAAGCCAGAATTAGACAGGCAGTAAGTGTAGATAGGTAAATCGAGTCAGGTCGGATCTAGGAGGCCAATTTTGAGTGAGTCCTGGGAAGTTGGAGACTGTCCCCTGAGGGATAAGAGTTCATTCTTCTAGGAAATTCTTGTAGCCCCTGCTCCAACCTGTTGCCAAGGTAACCTGCCCCAGGAATTTCCCCTCTCTACAGGGAGCCATAAGGTTGCTAATGTGTCCTTGTCTACTCCATCCTGTCCTTCCCCCTTCAGCCCACCTATTTCCCACCTTTTGGCCATCCCACTGAGCATTCCTGAGCCTAGTCACGTCCACAGGAAGGAGAAAGATAAGGGGGAAAAGGCAGGAGAACAAAGGAAACCTAGGACATAATAAAAAGGGCAGAACACCTCGCCTCTTGGGATACCATGTTACCAGCTATGGCCCCCTTCTCCCTCGAGGGAGAAGTCTATGTTACCCCTTTTTAAATAAACCCTGYTTCATATGCTCGCCTCCGTGTGCTTCTCTAATGTTCAAACTTCAACGTGGGGGAAGCTGGACTCTACCCTGTTAGTCTTATCTGACGGCTCCTCACAGGTTTTTCCATGTCTAGATTGACGCTGTGCTAGTTTAAGCCACATGGATGGAGCATAGGCACTGACCCATTTTGCCTGATGATTCCACATTGCCCTTGGCCAGCCACCACCCTAAAACTTATCTTTGTCACAATGGTGACAATGATGTCCACATAACAGACACCACCGGATCAATACAAATTAATTCCCTCATGCTCTTTCCTAGAAAAAGCTCTTAAAATCCTTATTTTATTTTAATTCATTCAAAAAATTAATTTAATTGCCTCATTCTAGAATCTGCTTGTCATGAAGCTCACATGGAAATCAACAGTAAACAAACAATAAAAAAATGTGTTGTAATGAATGCTGAATGCCATAAATAAAACATGGCAAGGAAAGAGAATATAATAGGCTCTTTCAGAGAAGATGCAGATGGTGATGAGTACCATTAGAATAAGGTCCCACATTCAAATGCTACATACACCTAAAAACCAGGATGGCAGAAATTCCTGGAAGAATGAAATCCTACTGCATATATGTCAGGTTTTCATTCATGAAAATAGTCAAGGGAGAAGAAAGAAATGGTGGGAGTAAAAGAAAACACAAAATTTTAAGAGGAAAAGTATATACAAAGTCCCACAGCTTCAGGGTAGGCATTCTAATGACTTTAAGTGTCATCTTTTTCTACTGGTGAGTAAATGTATACTTGCAAAATCACCCAAAGGCTTAGCTCTAGTGTCTATTTTTATGCAAGAGAGAATGTGTGTGATGTCTGCCTTGCCTAGGGAAGCTGTCCTGCTCACAGCCCCCAAGCTATTTTTTCTAGCAATGCATCATGCTTTTTGTCACCTGACTCTGTTTACACCCAGAAACAGAAACAAGGAGTCCAAGCCTGATCCTGGGACAACCAATCCAGAGACTTGTGAGTTGGCCCAGGGCAATAAGCCCTGAACCAATGAGRACTAGAATGAGACAAGCTTGTCAATCAGATCTCTCTCAGGCTGTCTCTTTSTGGAATCAGAACCAGGATTTATAGAAGTGAGTTGGTAGCAGGAGAAAAAGCAAGAAAGCAGAAACCAAGAAAGGGACTGAGTCACATGGATGGTATGCACTACAGGGAAGACCAGCTTTCCTGGGCTGTTGGAGATGGGTAGCAGATACCATCAGTTTCTTCCAACTCCACATTTCCCCTGTGTTCCCCCAACATTTCCCTGGTGCCATTTGACTCCAGCTGCCAGTGTATTTCTGAAACTAAAGGCTTTATGTCCATATCTTACAGTAAGCTAGAAGTTCTAGGGAATTAATACCTCTCAGGATTAGCCCTTAGTTAATGGCTCACATGAGTTGACACATAAGCACCACCCCAGCTCCATTGTCCCCTGGGTAGATAATTCCAAAGTATATGTTTTGTACCATTTCCTCAAGATTCCCTGCTAGATTAAATTTCATTCACCCACTGTGACAGTGGCTCCATCACATATCCCATATTGCCGGCCAACCACTTCTTTCTTTCCCTGCTCCTCTAGGAGGATGCCCTGCGCATCCCACATAAAGCACTTGCACTTGAGTTCTTGTCTCAGACTCTGTTTCGCCAAGAGGCAAGAAGATGTCTTAGATCCTGAAGCAACTTGGATCTTCAACAGCCGAATGAATCACTTTTGGATGGCCATGCTTGGAGTCTTGGGAGAGTCTTGCTTTTTTCCTTTTAGCAGGTAAATTCTTGCTCAGCAAGTATTAGTTACTACTGACTTAAAGARCTTAAATTCTTAAGGCAGGAAACAGGTGTTTGGGGAAGGAAGAAATTGAAGTTTTTTTTTTGTTTTTTTTTTTAAGAGATAAACCATATCCCCTTTTAGGAAGTACTTTTAGTAAACATTTGTTTCATGTTGGGACACTCTGTTAAAGCAAAGACAGATTTCTAGTCAAAATATTTAATTTGGGCTTCATGACTTCCTATCTTGTAACTATCCTATGAATGACTGCCACATGAACATTGAGAGGCATTAAAGGTAAGAGGCACAATCGGTTCATAACAGGATTTTGAAAAGAAATTTAAGTAACCTATGCTATTGGGAGAATCCTTTGGAATAATATCTAGCTCACTATGAAGTACTTTCCTCTAACAGATGCTGCTTAAGAGGTTGGAAGGACCAGGTGCTTCTATTATGTTTATTCTAAAGAGAAAATACTTCTTCCCAACTTGAATCTACATTAGTTTCTCCATCTGTATGGACAAAGAGTGTTTATATTATGATACAACTAAATAAKAAAATACTATATTTATAACATCAAGAAAAATTAAAAACACCTAAAGTGGGTAAAAATGACTACTCCATGTCCTAGGTAGCATTTCTCTACCCTTTATTGTCTTTGAATTATTTTATATACTAAGTTGTAGAAAATTGATAATAACCCAAATGACTATTGTTCATAGAAATGCAAATGAACTATGTCCAATGGAATGCAAGTGTTTATTTCCTTGTAAATCTTGACCACTTTTGCATGTTATTATAAATGCATTTCAGCATTTCTAATTGCCTGTAAATATGTGGTAATTTGCATTCTCCCTTAAGCTTGTTGTAACATCTTACCATACTGTCATTAATTAATAAGTTGAACAAAATCTTGTACTGTGTTCATTTTATAATAACACAAGAGTCATTGTTTTTGCCTTTAAAAGTTGTCTTTTGACAATGACAAGTAGTAAGTGGAAAAAATCAAGTTGTAAATTGACATGAATTGTATAATCAAACTTTATGAGAGCAGAGATCTTGTCTGGAAATTGTTGGGAAAGTAAATTTGGAGTTGTAGGAAAGTATGTGTGTGTGTGTGTGTGTGTGTGTGTGTGTGTGTGTGTGTGTGTGTGTTACTGGGGATTGAACTCAGTGGTATTCTACCACTGACCAACATCCCAAGTCCTTTAAAAAAATTTTGGACAAGGTCTTGCTAAATTGCCAAGACTGGCTTCAAACTTGCCATCCTCCTGCCTCAGCTCCAGAGTTGCTGGGATTRTAGGAATATTTTAAGGGAAAGGTTTTCTCAAGGGGATCTGTCTGATGCAAAGTTAAGCATTTAGAGCTTGTAACCAAGCAGAGAAATGTCCAAATTCAGATTTTACAATGTACTAGCTCTGTAGCATTAGGCAACTCTTGAAGGGCTAAATGAATTAGTGCAAGTTACACCCTTCACAGTGACTGAATATATGTGGTAACTAGCTATAGCTAACCATATTGCCTCATGAATATTTTCAAAATGTTGCAAGAATAAAACTGTTTGAGAGTAATATGTGGGAGGGCACTTCCTGAGTGAGCGCCAGGCAGCCCAGAGRGTTGTAAAGGAAGCTGCGGCATTTGCTGGGGGTAGGGTGGATAGAGGAAGCACTAGTTACCAGGTTAGSACTTGACGACCTGGAGGAAAATGAAGTAGGCAATATAACGTTCTCACRGTGGAGGAGCCAGTGCTGGAATTTCTACCATAGATTTCAAGGTCTTTAAGAGCCAGACTTAGAATTCGGGCACAGAAGCCACACAGAGTAGGAAACTGAAAGACGGGTTTTGCACTAATCTGAGTGCTTGCTGGGAAGCAAGGAGAGACAAAGTAATGGGCCAGGAAGCACAGCCTGTACTGCTCCATGTGAGAGACTRGTTCTGTCCCTGACCACCAACAAGGTGGGGCAAGGGCAAGACCACCTTTTCTTCATCTGTAAGACCTGACTACCTGACTTTTGAACTCTGGTTCCCTGAGGCCCTTCAGCTCAGAGAAAAATAAGAGGAACCAGCAGTGTGTGTCACACACGCACATGTGCACACTCACYCACCCACCCACAGGGCCTCTGCACGTTTCAACAAGGGGCAGCCAAGAGGCAAATTCTATCTGCCAGCTGCAGCAGCAGCAGCTGGAACAACAGCTGACTTCTGAAGCCAGAGTCCGTGGTGTGTGGCTTGGTTCCTTCTCTTCCCAGGGTTTTGAGGAAGCAAAGATCTCTGCAAAAGAGGAAGGTCTGAAAATACTAGCAGGAGACAGATTTCTGGGCAAAATGGCAGAGGAGTTCCCAGAATAGCAGCACTGTTTCACTGCCGGAGCTTTTTCATTAAATATATATGGACCTATTGTGTCTTTTTTGTTCCCAGTGAGGTTGAAAAGGTAACATATGGTGATTCCTTTCTGTTTAGCTGGGTGGATTTTTCTTTTGAGCTTTCCCCTCTGTAGATAGGGTAAGGTGGAAGCCCTAACTGGCCAGTTAAATATATATCCTAGTTGTTCTTAACTTAACCAGTTCTTTTACATATAAATACTCCATCTTTTAAATTTCTTCCTTAGTCCTCTATTTCTCAAAGTAATGATTATGGATATGAATATGGATATGACTTAACAGAGGGGTAAAAGACTCAGACCCACATAGGGAGGTCTCATGAACCTTTGTGTCATGAGCCTTTCCCTTGTCTTCCTGATCACCAGGGAGCTCTACCAGAATCTATAGCTGCAGCCTGAGGTTGGTGGTCTGAGTTTTGTTCTCTTGGTGGAGCCCTGATCCTCCCTTGCTAACCAGCCTCATCTCTGCTCTTGCTGATACTGGGCATCCCTCTAWGTCCTGGTCAGGTTTTGCATTTGGCTTTTGGTTTAAATCATCTAAGCCACAGTCTCTACACAGAGGTTACCTCACTCTTCCTTACAGAATCATCATGGCAGTTACTTTTCAGCTACCTGCTGGGTCCCTACAGGGCTTGTAAGACTGTATCCCTCCCACACCACAGTGGAAGAGAAGGAGCTCAGGAGCACCAGACATTCTCTCAGCATGCGTGCTTGTTACAGTGTGGACATGAGGTGTCCCTCCAAATCTTCTGTGTTGATGCAAGAATATTCAGTGGTAAAATGATTAGATTATGAAATTAATAGATTATGGATTAATCAGTTCCTCCCAGTTTGAATGGACTGGTGGTAACCGTGGGCAAGTGGGGTAGGGCTAGAGCAGGTGTCACTCGAGGCATCCCCTGGAAGGGTTCATCTTCCCTGAGGTCCCTTCCCCTTCTCTCTGACTRCTTTCTAGGAAGCCATGAGGTGAGCAGCTTTTGTCCAGTGTTCCCTTTGACCATGATGTTGGACCCAGAACAATGGACTTGGCCATCGATGGACTGAGACCTCTGAGATCATTAGACCCAAATAAACTTTTCCTCCTCTAATTTGTTTTTGTTAGGTGTTTTAACCACAGTGGTGCAATGTTAACACATACCCTGTTTTTGTCCTTCCAGAGTTCTAACCAGAAAGTGTTGCATAAGCTCCCTCACTTTTCGCTTCCCTTCATCTAACAGCACCCCCAGTTCTGTATGTCAGTTCCCTCTAACCTGTCATCTCCTCTGAGCAGCCTTCCCCAGCCTGCTCTGGCCAATGCCGAGTTGCTCTCTCCATCCAGTGTGCTCCCATGGCACCTTCTGACCCTGTATGCTGGAACTACTCAGATTGGATCAGAAAGAGTCCTTTTCATGACTGCCCCCCTTAACTAGGTTACAGAACTCCCTGAGAGCAGTAACGGATTCTTTATCTTATTTGTGTCTCCAATGTCAGCCAGTGCTGACATCTCAACACTGGCTGGAATCCAAAAAAGAATTCCAAGAAAACCAACACTTATTTGGAATTTTGTCTGACATGAAGTCAGAGCATATTTGACTGCTTGCTTCCCTGGCCTCCATCTCTTTTCTCTTTGTCCCTGCGCACTAGGTGGGTGGAGGCAGGTCTCTTTCTTCCTCTCTGTGTCTGGTTGCAGCTTCTCTTATGTCATCCCTAGGGCAGCAAGTCATATCACTTTACCTTCCTCTACCTTTAGAAAGAACTCTACCTTCTGAGCCAGCCACCTTAACTGTTAACAGGGACCACAGGACAACAAAAAACCAGAAAGTTTATATCTCAAAAATGCATCCCTGTTTTCATTTATTTAACCATCAGGACACCGGGGCACCTACACATGGCAGGCACTGAGCCGACATCTGARACCCAAATGGGAGCAAGATGCTGCAGCCTCTCCACTCAGTGAGCTCCATAGCCTAGCCAAATAGGCAGACATGAAAAGGAATAACTACAATCTGAGTAGTTCCAGCATGCAGGATAAGAAGGTGCTTATGGGAACACGCAGGATGGAATGAGCAACTATGTCATCCTAAGTAGGCTGGGGAAAGCTGCTCAGAGGAGAAGACGTCTAGGTTAGAAGGACTAACATGCAGAACTGGGGGTGCTGTTAGGTGAAGGGAAGCTTAAAATGAGGGAGCTAATTGCAGGAAATGAGAAGGGCAATCCCCACAGTCGTGGCAAGCTAAGGCCGCAAAGGAGCGATGTGTTTGGAGAACAGAGTGGTGGGCAGGGAACACATGGTTGGTGTGGGGTAGAAGGATATGATGTGGTAAGGAGGTTGGGCATAAGCTTACGATTTTGAAGCTGAAGAATCTGTAATTAATCACACAGGCAATAGGAGTCTATTGGAACGACATGCCCATACATGGCATATAACCCAGATCCATCTTTGCCTCCCTCCAACGAATATTCCAGGGAAACACCTGCTTTCTGAGCCTGTCCACAGTGCAGGTACTTCTGTTGCCACTCTCACTCCTTCCAGCACTGCCTGCTGCATGGATGGTCACTGCCTAGAACCCCTGGACCACTGAGCAGTTCAACACCCTGTTGCTGCCTCTGCATTCTCATCTGCAGAAAGGAGAATGTGGAGCTGTACTCTTATTATTTTCCCTGATACACTGTCATACAGGCTGTAAAGACATACCAGACTTCTTCTTTTTTTKTGTGTGTGTGGTGCTGAAGATTGAATCCAGGGCCTTGTGCATGTGAGGCAAGCACTCTATCAGCTGAGTTATATTCCCAGCCCATTAATGATCTTGAGTGATGGTAATTGTTGACATTTTAGCCCCAAACAAAACAAAACAAGAAACTGCCTGGATTTAAAATTCAAATTCCATGATCTATGATTCTTTTTTTAAATACCTTTATTTTATTTATTTATTTTTATGTGGTGCTGAGGATCGAACCCAGCACCTTGCACGTGCTAAGCGAGAGCTTTACCACTGAGCCCCAGCCCCAGCCCCCTATGATTCTTAATATGAAAAATCTCTGCAGAATGATTAAAAATGTTTGTAACCACCCATATAGGATTTGCACTATGATGTCAGTATTTAATTATGCTTCCCAGTCTAGTTTCTCTCTACAATACTATGTATGTTTTAAAAGAAAGTCAGAGTGCACATCAGTGCATGCAAACCCCCGCTCCCTTGAGCCAGGAGCTCATGTGGCATGACATAAAAACAGCCAGACTTGGCTATAGGACTGTATAGTCAGTAGCATGGCAGCCATGAAACAGTTTTCTAGAAACAATGGGCCCTGAGAGCTTGCTGCCATGAGAAGTAAATAGGCAAGTTTCCTTTTCTAGGTGCCTGAAAGGAAAGACCTTTATGTCTGTAGAATTTTATCCTAAAGCAGCCTTGCATTTCTGATAGTTTTCTGTTGGCAGAAGTGAAGGTGTTTGTTTCCACCAAGTCTTTCACAATCATACACGAATCATACATGAATCTTGGTAATAAAAGTTTACACTGGGGACTAGTCAATAATAAACTTAAGGAATTAGTTTGGGGCGTAAAGATATAGGATGGAAAGCTTTGGGATGTAAACTATTCTGTAATAATGTTGGTTTTTTTTTAAAGCTTTCAAACTAACTATTCAGATATTTGATTTTTTTTGTGATTCACTGTAATTATGTACTATAAAGTCACCTCAAAAACTGAATTAGCAAATACTAAATTGTTTCTCTAATATAGGGCTAGGTTCCTGCAAGCCTCTGATCATAATGTTTTTATCAGTTGATCAATATATAATTATCTTTTACCTTGTGTTTCTCTTTTTAGAGACCTTATTTAATATATGTTGTTGTTTCATTCACATTGAATTCATGACCAACAACACTATAACTCATGCCCCAAAGAAGCTAATCTAATAAATTATTTTCTCCATGTGGCACATCACAGTCTTTGTGCTCTCAGAAACACTAGGCAGCACTTCAATACTATGCTTGGGGGTCATTTAAAACAGCAAATCACCAATTAAAAAAAAAAAAAAAAGAGGCTGGGTGCAGTGGTTTGCGCCTGTAATTCCAGTGGCTCCGTAGGCTGAGGCAGGAAGATCCTGATTCAAAGACACCCTCAGCAATGGTGAGGCACTCAACAACTGAGTGATAATCTGTCTCTAAGTAAAAATAGGGCTGGGGAGTGGTTCATTGTTCAAGTGCCCCTGAGTTCAATCCCCTGTACCGAGAGAGAGAGAGAGAGAGAGAGAGAGAGAGAGAGAGAGAGAGAGAAAAGAAAGAAAATACATGACATGAAATAAACCATAAAAGGGTGCTTGTTTACAGTATGAGAAAGCATGAAAGGAGAAGGTAGAGTGTCACCTTGCTAAATTTCACTGACCTACACCTGTGAGTGACCTCCAAAGCACAGCGAGTATTGATAGTGGAGTTGCAAATAAATTTTAGTGAGTAGGCAATTTTGCAAATACAGAATCACAGGATCGGTTGCATAAATTTTCTGCTTTGAAGAGAAATTATGGTGGTAGTGTCAAGAAAACCTTAATGAAATTAGTGTTTTATTCAGATTATTCGAAGTATGATTTGTTGGTTAGTGACATAATAAAGTGAAAAAAGAAGAAAATAAATCAATTAGAAAATTCCTGCAATGATCCTAAAAATGACTTCAATTAGAATCAATGCCTAATGTTTCAGAAAATAATTAATTTTATTCAAATGCTCACCTACATAAAACAACAGAAAACGAGAATTTGGCTTTTAAAAAAATTACTTCTAATGCAGTTTGTTTGTGATTATAAAACAATCAGATGGAAAGCAGTCTGGGGAAAATTATTGAAGCAAAATATATCAATTACAGCAAAGATTTATTCAGTGTAACCCTATAATTCTAATTATGGGAATAGACCCAAGGAAAATCATCTAAAATATGGAAAATGTATACTGTTGATATCTGTTATAGCATTGTTTATAGTAGAAAAACACCTGGAAACAAGTAAATATTTAACAAAAGGGTAAAATTAGCAAAAGAAATTATTATATATAACATATGCATATATATGCATATATATATTCAGTAGTATATTGCACACTCATTTAAAATGATTATTAAGAATGCTGAACAGCATCATAGGAAAAACATCAGGGAGGGGAAAGGAGGAGGGAAAGGAAAGAGGAAGTACTAGAGACTGAAACGGAGACAGTTATATTCCACACATGTATGATTATATCAAAATGAATCCCACTATTATATATAAGTATAATTCACTAATAAAAACTTTTTAAAAGAGAAATGAAAAATAYGAGGGGGTGAACATTCAGTTTAAAAAACAGAATAAAATAATTAATACATTTTAATAATAACTAATAGGAATCTATGCAAAAGGAAAAAATAATATGGAAAAATCAAAATACTAGATGTGGTTATATAAACATTTATGTCAGGATAGTGCATATTTTTCCATTTTAAATAAAATACATTTATTGAAAGGAAATTTGATAATAAAAGTATGATTTGGTTAAAGAAGAAAGGAATTTTTCTTTACAATTTACAAATTTATAATATTTATTATAAATGGAAGTTGATAGAGAAAAATAACAGGGCAGTGAAACATGGTTTACCCCTTTACTTGAAAATGCTTTTAATACTTCACTTTTATATGATTTAATCTTGACTTTCCATTTTTAGGGCAAGAACATGGCTAAGTAGTTGACCATGTGCTTTTGATGATAAATATAAGGAGGCAGGCACATAGAAATTTACCTTCTGTCTTCTATTACTGGATTTCAAGACTTTGACCACATTTTTGTTCCATGTTTTTCCTGTGTTTCTTGAATCTAGATTTCTTTTTTTTTTATTGAAATTGATGGCACAAATTACTCAATGGTTTTCTTCTTAGATACTTGCACATTAATAATAAATGAATTTCTGACTGTTTCAGCTCAGATTACTCAAAAGGCACTTGAAGAAAACTCTAGGGATTTTCTTTTTCTTTTAAGAGGACAATGAGTGAATGAGTGAATGAATGAATGA